ATATATATATATATATATATATATATATATATATATATATATATATACACACACACACACACACACACACATACGCGCGATTGTATAAACATGTTTTGAAAGCATGATCATCGAGATTTAAGTTGTACACATTAAAAGTATTGTTACATTACAATTAATTTATTATAAGAGTGAGAATTACGCAATAAATGTATCAATATCAATGAAACGTATTAAAATTTATCGGGAGATTTGTACGCAAGTGGATTCACGTGTATAAATAATTTCGCGTCTCCTTTCTGTTCTTCACATTATACCGACGACAAGATTATGTTTAACGATCTCTCGATCGGAATAAATGAGATAAACAGCGCCATAAATCGGAACGAGTCGCAGTCTACGACGATACTTGCATGTTACGCATTTTGTAAACACCGATAATTTTATGTAAGCGGGTGTATTGCGGTTCACAAGTAATCGTTCTTATCGTTTTTAGCTCGTAACTTATATGATTAAGAGTGAAGGTTGTACGTGACATTTTTCTCTTATGGCATTTCGTAAGTATGACAAAAAATTCTATGTATCGGTATTTTTGGCAGTGTTCTTCGACGTTGTTCTCGCTATACATACTTCCGGATCTGTTCGAGCTTTTATCTAATCTCGTGAGTTTTATTGAAACACTTATCATGGTGGCCTTATGTAAGTTTAGTAACAGCGACTGATTGAAATGTAGAACAGCTGATAAAATCAAAACAACTCACAGACAAAACTAAAATTAGATAAAAGAATAAGTTATTCTTGTCTTGATAGAGATTAAGCTGCAATGAAAGGCTTTCAACACTCGAGTTTACTAAATTCGAAGTTTATTTTAGAACAAATCTGGCAAGATCTTTACGACAATCTCTGTTTCGCTCGTTAAAAAAATTATTCTCCTAATAATCGTTTAATTAGTCTCCAATTAGACTGTTACTATTTGCTTAAGAGTTTAATGTGCTGAGAGCGACTTTCAATTAGCAAAAGTTTCCGATAGACTCGAGAAAGAGTCTCGATAGTCGTTTATTCACGCGCGTTTATTATTTTCCGATAGTGAGGATTTCGTGTATATAGCCTAGCCTAAGACGGAAAAATTGAACATTCATCAGTTTTCGATCAGTTCTCTCCTCGCGTCGTTCCTTTTTCGGGAAACGACACGTGACCTCTCGCTTTTATCGGAATATTGTAAAACATTTAAAAATCGGATGTGTGACCACATATATTACTTATTATGTATATAAAAAATTCGGGTCGCCCTAGTGCTCGCTCTTGCGTTCGCACTCGCTAAAACAAGATCGTCGCGATGTGTGAAGATATGCAGATATCTTCCTCCATTCATGTCTTTTTTTTTTTAGATAAACGCACGATTTTCCCCTTTCCCCGTTTTTCTTTTAGGCTCTATTACATATATTTAACATACTGACATTAGTATACATAATATATATTACCGTGATTATACATATATAATGCATAAATTATACACATATATATTTATACTATATATTATATATTATATATACTAACAAATCTCGATATACTCGGGTTGAAAACTGATGCGAGACAGCCTCTGTGTGACGGCGCGAACCAACGTACCCTCGCGAACGGGGCCCGCCCCCGTTGGCAATGTAGCCGCGGTATGTCCAGTAACTCGCAAGTGCAACAACCGACGTCATTCTTCTACGGTATCTTACGACACTTTCCTCCCTTCGCTTCCAATATCGCTGGAAAGCGGAGAGAGCGGAAATAGCGGAAGAAACTTTTGCCATATATATATTACGGAGAAATATAGACGGGAAAGGGAAATAAAGGGACGAGCTTACGGCTGAGTATAGGGCACGCGAGAGAGAGGCGGAAGGATAAATGCCCTCTATAACTGAACGCGTAACATTTCCCTCGTTTTACTACGCGAGCCGTATTAAGGGAAAGGCTCGTACCCTCGTATATAGAACGCGACGCGTAAAAATGACGTCGGTCGTCCCAATTACAAAATACTGACGTATCATTATCGCGTCTATCCCGCGCGCGCGCGCGTCGTCCTTTTCGGAAAAAAAGTTCTATCAACTCCCGTTAAGTAAATCTCACACATTTTCTGCCCCCTCCCCCCCCCCCAATAATATCTTTCACCCTGAAAAAGTTTCACGGATAATAACGACAGGTCGACCCGGCAATTGGAGTGCAAGCGCGGATATAAGTGTGTCACTTAAACTCGATCGGCGTTTCACGAGTTGCAAGCCAAGTGCCCCCGACGCAGAATATATAATACCGTCTTTATTCGCGACTCTCGTACCGTTATATTTATAATATATATTTATATTTATATATCTTTATTTATATTTATATTTATATCTATATTTATATATATTTAGAGTATGTACAACACGCAGTAGAGATTCGACCGTCGACCGACAAACTGCACCGGCGTTTCTCCTTCCAAACGAAATTCGATCAATTCTTTATCAATATTCTGCATAATAATCGTATCATATCTCTGACGAGAATCTCGAGATGATCCCGTGTCGGTCTCAGCACGGCTCTTTTCTTGTATAAGTGAAAACACACGAACGCGCATCCGGGCAAAAAAAAAGAAACAGCGGAGGAGCGTACGTGCAGAATTCGGAAATGTATGAATCGATGAATAGAACATGAGAAAATCCGCCCTTTGGTTCTTATTCGATTTTCTTTTTTACGCGATGCCGACGAGACCTACGTTATGTATTGTGTGTGTGTGTGTGTGTGTAAATATGTACGAGTACTTCATTTAAAATTGCACGATTGCGTTTGGTGATTAGCTGAAGAAAAGTCACCTGTACAAAAGTACAAACGACACTTATTGTCGAAGGAAACAATAAGAATTTACCTTTCTTTCGTAACGTTATTGATGCGCCGCAGAAAGTATTTCTGGTAAATGCGTATAGAACGTCTCCGTGAGGTTTGCATCGAAATGAGAGCATATTCTCTTGTACGAATGTCTTAACGTTAAATATCTCGATAACTAAAAATAAAACTGTATTAAATTAAATTCGATTCAATGTTAGAAAAGGAAAATATTTTTGTTCGTTTACAAGAATTGAGAGCTCAATCTGCCAGGAATTTTTCGAAATTATTCAGAACGTAATTCTATCACAATTTTAATTCTCGCCGAAATCTACCGCTTCAAAAGCTCGATGCAAACCTCTCAATAATTCCGCAGGATGTAAATGCCGTTGGATGGAAAATATATTTAACGTACCGCTGACATATTTAACATGAAAGTGAATCGCACCGTGAAACATCTATCGCACAAATTTTTTAATATAACAAGCTTCGAAAATTTGATTATCACAATTGTACTTATAAAACTCATATCATATTTCCCCTAGATACGATTCAATTTGTATACACAGCGCATTAATTATACTTGCCATCCAACAAGTGAAATAGGTTGTGTGTGTTGTTGAAAAAAAAAAAGTTTAATTTACTGAGTAACTAAAAAATACGTCTTTTTTTATATAAAAATTCTGCAGTTATTTACGTAACCACAAATGCCGCTCTTACAAATAGCCATGTATTGTAGAAAATATTGTAGAATGAAAAATTACGTCAAACGGAGACTGTCGGTGTTGATATACATATAATACTGTCTAGTGACGTTTGGAGGGATATAATTTGTTTTATCGTATATATCGTAAGAATATCATATATAAATCTTATTGGCTCGATTATATCCGTCAATCGTATGATCCACGGTCGGATTCGAATGCATCTTTCGTATTTAAATGCCGCATATAAAATCACACTTTTTATATATAAAACGCAATAATTATTACATATAATTCGTTTCGCAAATGAGATTCTCTCTAAGTGGAATTCGCATCTTATAAAGTCGCAATAATCGAAACGTTGTTAAACGTTTCAGTGTAATTATGTACAGAATGTTTCGTAAATTTCAGGAAAACAGGAAATAAAACTAAATAGCAAGAAAATTCCAATTTTCTAATAGAGCATAAATTAAAAGTTCAAATGTGTATTTTTGAGATTCATTTGAGATTCACGTTTTTTTGGACAAATCGATAGACTTCTGCCTGAACAAACTCGTTGGAATTAGATGTAACATTAGATGCATTCCTGTTTAAGAATTCACGCAACATTCTGTATACTCGCGCAATGATCTTATTGCTCTCTAATGTATATGTGTATACAACTTGTAAAAAGATCTCTCGCTGATAAAATACATTTAAGTTGTGGTGGCCGCGTGTGCCTCTATCGAGATGGCAACCCGGCACCACACTAATTAGCAAACGCGCTTTCTAGCGAGCGCCGTGCCGCCTAATTGTAAGTTTATAAACAAATTCCGGAAAAATACTCGTCGCCCTTATCGGCCGATCGAGCTACCATCGCAACAGTCGAAATTGAGGGCACATACTCGGATGGAATCACCATTCGAGTCGCGGATGGTACATTTGGGGATCACATCACACCACCACAACGTGTACACGTGTAATCCCGAAAAGTAAAGCACAAGAGTAAAACGCCAGGAATGTTACAATATTCATAAAAATGTTACAGTACAAAAGACACTGGATAATAACAGTTCTGTAGGATAATATAAAGACACGATCACACATTTCGATCTCGAATTTCGCGATCTAATTTTCTCACGTGTCTCGCAATTGTTCCTATTGTTCGATTTGCTTTCGTCGTATATATGTTGTGGAGATCTTTGATTCGTAATATCTCGTGGTAAAAATTTCGTAGCTCTAAGATCAGAGTGCGTTGAGATAAAAAAAATCATTTCATCGAAATTTGACCGTTCTCGAAAATTATCATCGAAAACATGTTATTGCATGTCGCAATAGAACGGAAAGATGTGTGATCACAGTATTGTACACGTTTCCTACAAAAATTCACGTTTATGAAAACATTTCTAGTGAATTCGGAGTATCTTAAGGAATGTGGTTCTTTCACCTTAACGACAGTAATACGCACGTACGTGTTATTTCCTGCACGAATATGTCGCTGAGAAGCTTTAAAAGTGTCTTTATCTCTGTCAGATTAAATATCAATGGAAAATTTTCAAGATAAAAATAGGAGACGAACATTCTGATATAGGATTATTTGGCCAAAAAAAATTTTTGTATTTAAGATTAGGTTTTAGAGAGAGACTTTAGACTTTAGCTTTTTAATATTATTTTTTTTAAATTAAAACTTTATTTTACTGTAAAAAAATTTTACTTTGATTATTAACTCCATTTTATTTAAACAATGTAACAAGTAATAATTCCTCGTTTTCGTTAAAAAAAGATTCTGGCAATTGACGATTAATTACGGACAGAAATAGAACACCTCGCTTTCTTTACAGACAAGATTACAGCGTCTGTCAAATCATTCGGTATATAATACACGTGCAAGTATTTCCGGAATTGGATGCGTACGTGCGTATGCGTAATGTCTCGTCGTCTGTAACAAATGTGTATGTGTGTACGCGTGTTGTGTCATTATTTGTTCTTGTTTATAAAAAGTTCGCTCGGCTGCGCAATTTGATTTGTTCCGGTTATCGTGAGTGCCTATCGTGACCCGAGGACGACACGTCCCCGCGAAATTTGTTATAACTACATCATAATTATCGCTAATGTCCAGCATGAAAAATCACATGCGTCCAGTGGCGACTAAATCGCGGCGAAAATCTTTTGATCGCCATTCCGTATATCTCGACACTTACAGATCCGTAAAAAAAAAGGAAAAATTCAAGATTCACATCAGATCCACACTCTAGTTTTTTTTTAAATAAATATTTTATATAAAATATTAATGTATAAAATTAGTATAAAATTTATATAAAATATTTTATATAAAACGAATAATTTATAATCGAAATTATATAATCGATACAATCGATCAGAGTAATGGTCGACTTCAGTTCTTGAAATCTTAACAGATACCAGCAAAATAAGGAATCAAAAATTATGCGCGCGTGTACGCGTATCAGCAAAATCACGTATCGCATCACTTTGAGATTTTGTTAATACGCATAGATCATAAAAAGAAGGACACAAAAATCGGATTCGCCAGACAATTTTGTTGTTACTGACGGTTGAATAAAGGAGATTCGGAACATCATAGCCGAATACATCGACGGATCAAGATCCAAGCTTCCTCGAACGCGAACACTTACGGTCGTACTCGAAGGCCTAACCAGCTGTCGTCAGAGAAAATGAGAAGACGACGCACGATTAAAAACATAATTCGTTTCCCAATTGGAAATTTAGAAAACCATTCTCTCGCTGTCGATCGATTTGACGCGCGCACAAATTTACAATGGCTATAGTTTTCGCGATCGTTTTATATTTAATAAAATGACTATCTCGTACGTTGCAAAGGCGTTCGCAGGTTGAAAGGCAAGTGTATCGACAATAGAAAATTTACCACCGGGATTACAAGTGAGAATTGAGAAAGAGTTCAGTTTTCTTCGCTGCAGCTTCTAAGAAGAAAAAGTTAACGTGGTAAAAAAAGAAACTGAAAAAATTTATGGGAAAATAATGTTTAAAAGTTTATCGTCTTCATCATCGTCGTTTGTTATAAAAGGTCTCCTACAGCTTTAAATACTTTTTCTCAATTGTTAAAATAAGTATATTAAATATTAACAACTTGTAGAGCATTGTCAAGATAGGCAATGCGTACTGCTTTTTTAACCCTCTCATCTCCAAATTACCTTTACATTTGAAAACCACTTTTATACTTATATGTGTATCGATTATTAATACAGTAATACAATAGAATACACCTTGTCTTATATATATATTTCTTTTAATTTCATATAATATATTCTCTTCTTTTCTTTCTCTTATATAATCTCTTAATCTCCTTCTAAATCCACCGTTATACAATTTACCCTAGGCATTTCAGAGAATCACATTCAAACAAGTCAATTACACGACGAAGCCGTCGTTTTACGGGAAAATTTTTATATAATAAGTCTCTAGTTTATGTACTCTTACATCGTAATCTCTTAATACGCTCATCCGGCTCTACAGACGGAGAACGAGAGGGTTAAAAATTATTCTGTCTTGCTCGCGTGAGAATGGGAATAAGTATAAGCAAGTGGCTAGTATACTCGCGCCGGCTATACTTGCTCCACGACGATCACTTTCCGATCGCGGACGCTTAACAGAAGTGTCCGCGCGTTTTGCGATGTAAAAACGGAAATCACCGGAGGGAGAAACTTGGGTCGTTACTGCTAAAGTCCGGCGTGGCGTGTGGTAAGGTGCGACAGCTCGGTTTTCCCGTACGAAGGATAGGTAAAGAGAGATGGAGAGATAGACAGAGAGAGAGAGAGAGAGAGAGGGAGGAAACGAGGCAAGAGGAATGCGTCCCTTCTCTTGTCTTTTTTTCTTTTCTGTTTTTTCTCCTCTCTTAAACGGGCGTGTCCGTCTTCTCGTCCTTCTTGGTGTCTTTGACGTCCGTACGGCCGTTCACGTACTCGGTGCTCGTGTGTATCGGATTCTCTTGGCCACCCTGCGGCACCTTCTCGTCGATGATACGCGGGTCCTCCTGTTCCTCGTCGTCCTCGTCGCCGGGCGTGATGTGCGCCTCGCTTCCGGCGCCGACGTCACCCGCAGCCTCCTCGTCGCCGCGACGCCTCGCTGCAACAAGCAACGCCACGATCGGTCAAGGCAAATGTGCGTGTGTGGGTACTCTATCTTTTTCTCCTCTTTTTTTCCCTATTTTTTTTCTTTTCTCCCGTGAACGCTTTTGCGAGATCGCCCTTTCGCGTCGACGATCGAGCGCCGTTTATCATGTCAACGAATCGATATTGTCCGCGGTGTCTATCTGTCGCGCGACGTCTTTCTCGCATGTATCTCCGTAGCTAAGCGAATATTTTGTTCCTGCAAATCGTAATTTATATCCCGCTGTAAAATATCTCGATCGATGCAGCTTACTACGCGAGGCTGCAAGATGGAAAGCTCGAGGCATCAATCTTTAACGTTCAATTCGCGTATCAACAAATTTTTAACTTGACCGCTCGATGTCCGTTATCCTAATTGAACGAGAAAATTGAAAATTTTCGATTATCAAAGATTATCACGTGTGTCCGTCCGTACTTTTCTACCGAGTAAAGCACTTAATGCGCGTTCAACGCGAAAGCCTCTAATATTCATTGCGCGATTAACGTAACAACTCGTGACGCAACTGCCATGCACGAGGCACAGTTATCACGCCGCGTTTGCGTCCGTTGCGTTATTCATCAACGCGACAGCGCGTATACCCGAAGGTACATCGAAATGCGTATCGAGTGTGTACGGTGTAAATGTCATGTGCCCGACACGTAAAAAGGCATTACTGTATCTAATTATCTATTTGCTACTGAGATGAGACATTCAATTTGCATCGCTCGTGCGTTACATATGTATGGAAAGTACGAGTTAACGACTGTTTGCAAAACAAAAATGTATATTGTCATAACATCAACAGGCATGGTCAATCGCACTAACACAAATCTCGATCCAAGCAAGATAAATTTCGAGTAGACTGTATATCGTCGCCTCTCAACGCTAATTATGCAAGTATATATAGCAAAGGATCACTCAGTCTGCGCTTGAGGGGAGAATATAGATAAACAGCGAGGGGTTTCTCAGGTGACAAACATGCTTTGTACGATCAGAATCCAGAAACAGGGAAAAATCGTAGTCTCCGTTGTAACCAAAAAGACGCTAAAACGGCGACGAGAGAGCGGTGTCAGAAAGCACGCGAAAATATAAATTGATATACCGGGCGGGCCGGTCGTTTTCTGCTCAGGACAATTTCACCACACTTGCCTTTGCCGATTGCTCGTCGTTGCTTGTTGCGAGAAAGAAAAGAGGAAAGGAAGAAACGCTATTATATGTGTTCTCGTTCAGCGGCTCTTGCAGCGTGTTCGCATCACTTGATTTTCTCGAACGGTATCGACTCGATAAAAAAATCACACTCTATATATACAGCTTTATATTGTGAACCTCACAGATTTTGCAGGCGGTTTACTGTCCGCAAAGTGCAAAAATAAATAATAATACATGTCGATTGTTATTAACAATTTCGTAATACAGAGTCTTGTAATGTAAGCAATTAATGTAAGCGATTATAAACCGATAACATGCTAACAAAATCACGTAGGGTAAACAGGCTATAAGGCTCGCATGAGAGACGTACAAGATAATTATAAACACGTTGCAATAAATATGCTTAAATTATCGTTAATTAGCTATGGAGCAGATACTGTTGACATGCAGATGAGGGTCGATGACGTGACTGTGTATCAAATACGATTCGGGTAGGGAATAATAGCCATCGATTCGATATCGATGACGGAAGTCATAGCCGAAAATAGTTTAGTTGCGCTGTAAAAAGTGGACTTTTATACTAAATTTGTTTAAATACTTTCTCCATATTTCGTAAACGAATTAAATAAATTGTATAATCGCAAAATGACTATTATTTCAGACTTTGATCGTCATCGCAATTTCGATTGAGCCTACGCTTTGTGTTTCTATCGCTTCGTTTATCAATACGCGAAACGGAGGGTCAATTCATGAAAATACGTGGAAATATCCGAATCTCGCGAATTTATTCAGCAGTTCAGGGCTTATCGGAATATTTAAATGCATTCCTATGAAATAATAACGCGGGGATGAAATATCGGGAGAACGATTTTAATCGTCCGAACATTTTTAATTGCCTGAAATAGTGCTGGCCGTAAAAAGTCCCGTCCTTAAACTCTGCGGTCTTCGCGGTTTCCGCCGGAATCCTCGATACTGTGAATACGCGCAATATATTGATATTATTTCGCTCGCCAGGCCGTAAATTGAGCCGTAAATTGGGCCTTACTAAAAGTAGTAAGGGAGAATATAATATAGAACTCTAAATATTTCTCGTTGAAGAAAGTGAATTCTTAAAACTGCCAAGCGCTAAATTGGCTCCGATCATTTTTCATACGAAAGCGTCTTTCATGAAAATATATCCTCGTGAAAAATATTCCTTTCTCTGGCTCACTAGGCGGGGTATCATATTTATCGCACATGTCTTTTTAAGTCTCCACTTTTTAAACATAGGCAAGATAGCAGTTTGCGATATTCCATGCCAAAATAGTCGTAAAACAATGCGGAGGAGAAGAAACGGGCAAAAATCTCGTGCGCGTCGCAGCCTCGAACTCGGCCAACGAAAGCGAGAATGCAGCTCCCGGAGGCGCGATCGATTAATCGGATGGAAACGGGATATTTATCGGGCGATATAAAACGCAAGCCATAAATCGATAAAACGTTTCGGTATCGACACACGGTGCCAAATAAAAATGATGGTGCGGCGTAAAAATTTGAGAACACGTCAGGGGATCTTGCGAGACGAGAGAAAGAGAGAGAGAGAGAGAGCAGGAGAGAGCGAAAAGTGTATTAAATTTGAAGGGGGGCGGGTCTCCACCACTCAAACGAGTAGACGGGTCGTGGTCGTCGATAAGCCGGGCGCTGAAGGTGATGGCGCGAGAGAACGTGAGAGAGGGTGTCGTGATAAAAATGATCGCGGCGAAAAAGAGGTGACAAGAGCGAGCGGACGGGTCGATGATGAACGAGAACGAGCATTGTTTCAGAGAATTGAGAGTAGGGGGTGGGGTGGGGTGGAGCGGGGGGGAGAGAAGGTTGTTTCGCCCTGCCTGAGGTGACTTACCCCTGGACAGTGTCATGCCTAGAGTACGGAATCGCAAGGTAATCGTTGGCGTATCTCCGTATTCTTTACTTGGCCCGACTCGCATGCTGTCCTATATCGGCGTAGCGGCACAACACATAAGACATTTGTACACGTTCAGATATAAAAGTAATACTTATACATATGTAATAATATATATATGTTACTTATATATAATATATATTAAGGTACACGGGGGTGGGGCGGGGGGGTAAACAGAGCATTACAGTTGCTTCGGAGCGTACTAATTAAACCCAGTATACGTACGTTTCTACTGCACGCGCATACTGTGCTACCGCTGTGATAATTACCTCGCGTTTAGGCTAATCGCATACTGCAGACATTTGCGATCCACGCGATCGTAACGCCAACGTTAACGGAAACAATAGTAATGAACTATGTGGTAATAAAGTAACAACAACAGCGACAACAACAATCACAACAAGAAAGTGACATATCTATATAAGTCGTTGCATCGCATTTCAAACTTTACGTCGAGCATTATTTTATTTCCTTTTGTTTCCAATATATTATATGTTCCTCAAACATCTTCGGATAGATGAATTTTGTCCTTGTTATTTATACTATACCCATCTAATGGATATCATACGTGTAAAGACATTTTCCTCGTGAATTACGTCCGTGAGACAAACGAAGAGCTTTTATTGCACGTTTGTCACATTTGTCAAATAATTTAAGATTAAGGGTAACACTAAAGCTGTAGTCGTGAATAAAAACAATAAACTACGGTAACTTTTTATTTCTACCTGTCGCATCTGGTGATTTTATTACAATTAAATTTTGACATACTTTTTCGGTGCAACGTATGAATTTTTCGTTTAGTATTATTTTTTATTAAATATATTTGACCTATTTCTATTATTATCTTTATAAATTTATTCAGGAGTCAGAAAGTGGAAGATATATTTAAAAAAAAAGTGGAAACGGAGCAAGCTATTTACTATCAAAAAGATTCACCTCTTTTCAGCTTTGCTACTCGTCTTTCCCAACTCATCTTTCGTATAATTGGCTGTATACAATCCCAATAACTTTAATGAGCTCGCGTTTATTTCAAGAAGTTACTCGTTCTGCGCAAACAACGTCTCTTATTCAAATTTTACGGTACTTTCGGCTCTACTGTGTTTGCGCTCTCGACCGTACCCGCGCAACCAAATCGTTAGGGAGCACGAAAGAAAAATAGTGAGACTGACATATATATATATAATACGTAGCATATATAATTTAAAGAGAGAGAGAGCCTCTTTTACCGAGTATCTACATCTCTAAATCGACTCACCTGCAAAGCACCAGCGGCCGGTCGCGCGTGCAAAGATTACGAGGAAAATAATGAGTACGAGCACCAGAACGCCCACGACGATACCGATGATGGATCCAGCGTCCAAATCAACGCCTGCAAATCGTAGAGAAAAGATGCCACGTTATCTCGTAGTTCTTTGTGTATCTCTGATGTCATATCAATGCCTTGGATCGGAAAACAATTAATAGAATAATTCTGATATATAAGTAAAAAAGTAAAAAGAGATGAGAATGTCGCGTATGAAACATTTAAGATCGACATCTTAAAGCGTAAAGACATCAGCAACGAATAATTTTTGGCCGCAATGACGGAATGTTGTCAGCAATAAAGCGAGCTATACGTAAGTGCTAAATAACATTCTATAAATTATTTATAGGATTCTTTTAGAATATTTTTTTATGTAATTTTTAATCTTACTTACTTTATTTGCAATTGCTATAAAATATTTTTCTGCGATTTAACATAAATGAAAATTTATGACCTTTTTATTTTATATTTTTAAAGTTTTCAATATTCTAGTTCCAAGGTACTGATATATAATATATATTGACGATATACTTATAAAATGAATATTTATTAAATATTAGTAAATATTGGTAAAGATTGGTAAATCTTTCCGCAATTTTAATTACTCATATATCTTTTTATTAATATTTTATTATCCAAAATATCAGAATCAATCATTTTCAAAGAATTCCAACAAAATCGTATTTTCTAATTGATTTCAAGTAAATTTTATTTTTTCGCGTAATTTTTATGTTACAAATTAGAATCTTATAAAAACAGTGAATCATCTTCGATAGTTTTGCTAAGAAAAATACTTTAAATTAAAACCGACAGACAATCTATTATTAAAGATTGCAAGTTGTAAAACATCTTTTACAACTTGTGCCGAAGTAAATAACAATTATAGTGCGACATGAACGCGTATTTCATTACACAGCGTTTCGTGCGATCCGATCCGACCCACGTTGACGAAATCAAGACTGTTTCGCGGTCGTGCGCCGTTGGAAATTGGTAAATTACTCGTCGCTCGATCAATGTCAACGTGTTCTCTCTCGTGATCGACGTACATTACGCCCTTAGCCAAATAGCGGTTATTAATTTCCCGGCGTGATCATCCCCCCCCTATATTCTTTACGGAGTCGAACCGCCCGTGCACGGAACGCCGCGCGTTTACGTGACTACACAGACTACTTACGTATAGTAATTTGAAAAAATGACATTACCTAGTGCGTGCATGTGTTCGGAGAGCTTACCATAGAGGCTACTGAGCGGTCCTGCGTGAGCATGCGGTGAAGGATCGATATGGTTAGACACGCACATAAACATAAATGGGAACGTATTTTCAAAAGACGCGCGTGTGTATGTATGTGTGTGTGTGTGTGTGTGATATGATCGGTGGGCGATCATCTTGTGGCGATTACGACGATCGATAGCCACGATTTTACGTGCGAGATCGCGGTGACATGATTATATGATCGTGATGTAGTGGGTGATCAGTGGGCAGCCAAGTGTGAACGCCGGTTGATTCAGGCAATGAAAGGAAAAAAATGTGTGAACAAAGCGTGTGGTGGTCCATTGATTGCTCGCGTGTTACCTATCGTCCGCTTGCTACCATATATCGCAACTTGAGAATATAATTCAATTTGAGAGCAAGGCATACATTCGAAAAATATCCCGTAATTATTATTTCAAATAAAATCGAATTTCAAAATAATCCAGATAAAATCAATTAAGAGGTACTTAACGAGTTTTATTTAAAATATGTGTGACTATGTAAATAAATAACAGAGTTAGATCTTTTAATTTAATTAATAAATAAATTTCACTTTAAATAAATTCAGTTAATAATTTAATTGTTAAGATGAGGACAGATAAAAATTTCTACTAAATTTTTTATAGAAAAGCGATTGTATCCGTATCCACGAAATCTCTGGTTGAGTCAAGATATATTATAAAAGCTAAAATTGTATTCCCTTGAATTGATTAATAAAATTGTTAGAAACGCCACACATTCTTGTGCCGCCAATTATCACGTATTCGTATTCGTGGTGCTCCAATTATTTTCGATATGTACAAGATCTGTATTTACTATATAGGTGCACGGTGTGTGACGTCTTCAATAGAAGAGAACTTACGTAAATCGGATTTGTCGAATAACTTACCCGCCGGTTCTGAGGATGTCGACAAAACGATACGATATTCAGACGATCCCTCGCTGTTGGTCGCCTCCAACGTGTACTCCTTTTCCGTATCGGATTTCTGAACGCTGTCGATCGTCAGAATTACGCTCCATGCTCCTTTCCCCTGTAAAACGTTGCTTTGTGTTAACGGACGTACATCAGTCCGATCCGGTTCCGGCGTGCTCTTAATTTTGAGCGCTCCATCGCTCATTAATTACATCCTTTAATTAAGCCCTTTAAAGTGTCGCCGCGCTCGCGCGCGAAGGCACGTCGTCCACTATAAATTATTCGAGAGCTTTCGCCATTAATCTACGAGTTTTTGCACAATCTCTCTAATCCATATATTAAAAAAAAGGGTATATTGATAATTATAGCGCTCGTTGCGAGGAGAAACAAAGAAAGATGAATAAATAAATTCGCCACTTTTAATCAAGGTTATCTTATTTCAAAAAGACTCTTATTATTACAATTTTGTATAGTCGAACGCTATAAGCTATAAGCTTCATTCTTCTCAAGTTAAATGAATTTAACGTCATAAGCTGTAAAGCTTCGTTCTTTTTATTTTCTGTCGCATTTTTTATTTCAGTCACTTTCCGCGACAATAGAAATATTCCGCATTTGTTTTTTGGAAATTCTATCAATTTTTATTAAACTTTTTCGCTTTGTCCCGGCAGTTTTCTAATCGAGGAAAAATCCATTTGGCGGATCTCGATATCGCGTCGAGCGTTGTTCTCGGGGCGCTATTATAGAAACGAAAGAGCGGTATACCGAGCCTTTCCGTACTCTCGCCTCTCGTCCGGCTCGCCGTTAGTAATTGCGTTTTCAGAGTGGAAGCTGATTCGTATTCGTCGATGGTGCGGCACGTCGCGGCGCTCGCTCGGTCGGTCGGCTTGTGCCGTTCAGTAATCCGCAGCAAGTTGCTTGCAGACTTGCGAGGGCCCCGCACAAACCTATTTGAAAGCCATTCATACGCGATCCGGAGCCGGGTTGCCGAATAGCGCGGAGCCGGTTGCTGGCGGCAGCGGTGGCGCGGCGGCGGCTTTTATTGGTTCTGGCACACGCTGCCGTTGTCTAGAGCGTTACATTCGCGCAAGTGTGCTTCCGTTCGCACCGAAAGTTTGAGCCCGAATCGCGAGTTCCCGACGAAATCATCGGACGCCATTGAGATCTCTCTTCCCCCCCCCCCTCTCTCTCTCTCTCTCTCTTCCTCGGAATAGCCCGTGTCATTGAATGCACTTGGCCGGCTTTTGCCGCGCGCGCGTGCCGCTCGATTAACGCTTCGATCCTCCTCTCGCGCGCTCCAAATCGCGCGCTCGCCTATTTGTCCGAAAGTTCGGAAGCCAGCTTTTCGCAACCTTCCGCCACGAAGGGAGCAGCTGGCGTCCGACGATAAAATTTTCCCGATTTTACATAAGTGTTGGACCGACGGAAAAAAATTAAATAAAGAGGGGGGAAAGAGGAAGTTGAAATATTTTGACCATTTGCATCTTTGTTATAACGTAAGAGATTTCTTTCCTCAAGAACAGATATGATTCTAAAAATGGTATCCAAGGAGCGTTCTCGAAGTTTAAGTTCGGCAACATTTCACGAAGCTTTTTTCGGGCCCCTATTCTTTTTTCTTCTCCTAATAAATGGATTCAGAACGACAAGAACGGGGCCGGTGTGTTCCAGGAGCGACGAACGTTGGTCGTTCTACTTCCATTCGCCCGTTCGGCCCGGCCCGAACTAATTGAAAAGCGCAAGTTGCAAGATCGGCAAATCCATTTAAACCTTAACTACGGGATGAACAAACCGCCTTTTGCTAACGAAACAATGGATCAGGAACAAACGCCTCTCTCGGCGAACGCTCGAGGGGCCTCCGTGCGATCGCGCGGCGTCCGATCGATTCCGCCGTGTCTGAATTCAATGGAATTTCATTACGGCGCTGCACTCCGCGCGCGCTTGTCACACAGGTGCATGGAGAATGCATCTGGGCGAACGGTAAATCGAGGCCCGCCGCTGCCGCCGCCGCCGCTACCGCCGGAGTCGCACAGCGCAATATTGGATTTCTGTTTCATTTGCCTCCGCCAATCCGGTTGCTCTTCCCTTTCATCGCCAATTATTTCTTGGGCTCGCGCGTTTCTTTTCCCTACGTTTTATCACTGTCACCGAAGGGAATGGCTCGAATCTCTATATCTAAACGAATCACCGACCGACGTCCCCGGATGCGTTCCGCTCAACGTTTCGCTGAATTGAGTCGCCAAATGCACCTATCTGCCTCGTTACGAGACATCGCGGCGCGCGGCGACGATCGCTTTAATTAATAGAGTAAACCGATGAAACATGTGGATCGAGGGCAGTGGTGTTTTTTGGAGAGAATTTTACAGATTATTTCTTCTTAACAAAGAATCAATCGTCTAATATAATTGGTTGGGGAAAATGATTTAAAATAATAAACAACTTTTCTTGATGTTTCTAATTCGGGACTACGAACAAACGTAATAAAGTCTTTCGTCTTCTGTGTCTGAAATTGGTTTTTGTAAATCAGATAAAAGATGTTTAATATTAAAGAGCAGAAAATAATGCAAAAGAAGAATATTTTTATCCCTGGACTGTGAGATTTTATCGGCCAGTCTATGTAACTATATATAAATATTTGAAAAATTAATTCTGTAGACATATATTATATATAAAGGAAAATGTGAAATAATTTGATCAATGACATTTTATTTAAAGACGAAAAAACTTACCAAATCGACGGCGGTTGAAGTTTCCAATCGATTACTCTCGTCGGGACGACCTTCATCAATTTTTTCATCGTTCACTCGCCATGTGAACCGCGGCCTAGGATTCGCATAAATGGTAATATTGATGATTCCCTGTCTACCAACCACGTATCCGAAGCGTTCAAAGGTCGCATGTGCCTGAGGTGGATCTAAGAAGAAAGATAGTTTTTTTTTACGAAAAACGTCCAACGTTTAATTCAAATAACTAATTTCTTAATATATAAATTAATTCGAGTAAATTGTTATTCCATTATTAAATATAGAAACACATACGGATTCTATTAAAAATTAACGTTGAAGAAAATTACAAATTCTAAAATGCAGAGCAGAATGAAAAAATAATTGTAGTATGAAATAAAAAAGGATTAAAATAAAATAGAATCTTCGAAGAGGGCAAATATCTATAAGTAAGAGACTGCTTTGTATTATAAAGACTTACAGAATACTTCGAGTTGCACAGCCGTCTCCTTGGGCTTTTCGAGGGCGATGTGATTGGCTACGCATCTTAATATTTTACCGTTATCTGTCCATTCTAAACTGCGCGAAGCGTTCTGCACTGCCAACGAGTCGTCGTCTATGTTCGTGTCATAGAAGGTGTTCCTGTCCTCGCCAATCGGTTCGTCGTCTAAATATATTCAGAACAAGAACAATCTTATATCTCTATTATACTG